CTAACCTTGCCTGGCACGGTATGGGCTTGTAAGTTGGCATGGAAATTTAGAGCAGGTTCTTATTGGTGCACAGCACAAATTAGTTATATATGGGGATGGTACTTTTTCATTTTCAGCTGTCTCTGATGCAGCTGATATGAAGTAATTATTGCTCTGTTAACTGAATACCACTCTGTAATTACAAAAAAAAGTTGCAACTGTTTTGTTGACATTCTGAATGCTTCTAAGTAAGTACAAATTTTTTATAAGTAAATCTATATCTATATCTATATCTATATCTATATCTATATCTATATCTATATCTATATCTATATCTTGCGGCTTTTTTTAAGAAAAAAGAAAAGGAAGCTTTGCTTTGCTAGCCAGGAAGATTCACAAGATCCTGAATAACACTTACCCTGTGTTTCCTATCCCTGCCCAAGGTTAATTACAAACGAAACTTCAAGAAATACACCAGGCAATTGCACAGTAAGTTCTGCTGCAACTGCTGCAGCTCATTTCACAAACCATGGGCCACAGGCTAAGAACACCTTCTTAACTTGCCAGAAATCTCTTAGCTCTTCTGTTGTTCCTTTAAAACAGACTTTAAGGGCTTTCATTTCCTTAAATGCCTGATTTTCCTCGCTAGAGACTGTAAAGCCAGAGTAGACATTCTTATAAATTGCATTTGCCCAACTCTATTTGCTTTTCTTTTCTTTTTTTTTTTTTTTCCAGAACCGGGGATTGAACTCAGGCCCTTGCACTATGCCAGAGAAGCGCTTATTCCACTGAGCCATCTCCCCGGCCCCTCTATTTGCTTTTGCAAGAGTGAAGACAGTGAAACTTTCTGTCTGATAAAATACCCCCTGCCCGCAAACACACACACACACACACACACACACACACACACACACACTTCTTATATTTTTAGGGGACTGAAAATAGAGGCACATTAGAAGATAAGGCAGCAATAAAGTTCTAAACTCTTTCGTCGTCACCACTTACTTCCCCCGTGTTTCTGTAAAGGGTATTTGAAGGTGGTGCTCATGCATGCACGGTTCTTAGGAAACCAGTTCCTTTTTAAGGGATTTACCAAAAATAAAGTGGTTTCAGTCCCCTGCCTTACAATGATCGGGAATCCCTGAATGTGTATTTGTCTCGCTCCGATGGTCTCTAAAGGAATTTCTGATCATAATCCTTGCCCTGCATTCTGCTTTTCTGCTTTCATACACTGCACATCCTGCTGCCCAGCAGCGCATGGAGTATCTGAGCTTAAAAGAAGTGCTGCGTTTATCTGCAGCTGTTATCACCAGGAAGATCTGCTCAGAGTAGCACCGCAGGAGGCCCAGGCCTGCAGGGAGAGAGAAGAATAAAGGGACAAAACAAAACTACGTTTGAACTAAAGAATGACAATCCCACAAGACACACTCTGGGCCAGTGGTGGTGAGCCTGTGGCACGCGGGCTGCAGCGGGCTGCCTGTATCGCTGAAAGCTCTAAAAGGTTCGCCAGCACTGCCCTAGGAACTGCAGCAAATTCCACACAAATGAATATAAACATGACTGACTCCTAGAGTCTCATACCTACATCCGACTCGTCAGAAATCCTGAAGGTTCTACCTACAGGCTTCACAGGCAAGCGCCTACTATTTCGCACAACCTCCCCTACTATCATCACACTGTTGCAAGCCCACCATCCCCTCTGGTCTGGATTACGGCAAAAGCCCCCCAACTGGTCCCCTACTTCCACTCTTACACTTCTAGTACCCAGTCTCCGCACAGCAGCCAGAAGTCACTTGGCTGCTCAAACCCTTCCAATAGCTCAGCACTTTAGAATGGAAACTAAAGACTTTCTTACATGTCCTATCTGGTCTGCCTCACCTCCCCAGTGACTCCCTGACCTTGTCTTTGACTACATTAATCTGTTAGCACCCAAAATGTTCAAGTCCTTTGTATAAAATGGTGTATTTCAGAAAATAACTTTGACAACTGAAGTTCACACTGAAACATAAAAAGAGTGGTATCGTATTTGCATATAACCTTTACACACTCTCTCACATACTTTTTGTTTTGTTTTACTGGCTCAGCCCACCCTGAGGGCCGCGCTGGTGCGGCATGTGGTGCTGGGGATCAAACCGTGGTCCCCTGTACCTGCCTAAGCTTGCCTAAAGCAGGCACTTTAGACCACTGAGCTATCTCACTGGCCTGCTCTCATCTACTTGAAATCATCTGTTTACTTATCATGCATATATACGTATGATGTATACATTGTGTGTGTGTGTGTGTGTGTATACACACACACACACACACACATATATATAGAGAGACTTGTTGCTATGGACCTCAGCCTATACACACACACACACACACACACACACACACACACACACATTTCTTAGGGAATAATGACAAGAAAAATGCCTGTACGTCTGTATGACTCAATACAGATGTAGCTGGGCCAGCCAGATAGCTCAGTAGATTAAAGCACCTGCTTAGACAGACCAAGGGGCCGGGTTGGATCCCTGGCCTGCTATGCCGGCCCTGCCCCCCCAGGATGAGCTGAGACTAAGATTGAGACTGGGCCTATAATCCCAGTGCTTGGGAGGCTGAAAAACTCCCAAGTTTGGGAAGGATCACTAGGAGTCCAATCTGTATAGTGAGACCCTGTAGACCTTATACTAAATACATTATTAAAAAAATACAGATATAACTGTTTCCTAGTATTTTTTAACCAGAGTTGATCAAATCCAGGACTCTACAGCTACAGAGAAGTGACTGTAGTCATTCACTATGCTCCAACTACACCAGTGTCTCCATCTCCGGCCTTTCACCTTAGAATTTCGCGCTGCCCTCTTCCTCTGTCGGGAATGTTCTCTTCCCAGGTAAGTGCACAGTTAACTCCTCCACCTTCTTGAAGTCTTCACTCAAGTGTCATCTTCTCACAGAAAACTATCCTGACTACCCTTTTCAAAATTGAAACTCTTTGGGCATGGTGGTGCATGCCTGGAATCCTAGCCCTCAGGAGGCTGAGACAGGAGGACTGTCCCAAGTCCAAGGCCAGCCTGGGCTACATACTCAGCTCTGGCCAGCCTGCACCGTACAGCGAGACCCTGTCACAAACAAACATAAAATGTATCTGCTATCCCACCTTAACTCCTATTTCCTATTCTAACTTGTCTCTGTGGAAAAAAAAAAACATCATATACTACTCATTTATTATGCTTATTGTCTATTCTATTATATCCCACGATACTACTCCTTCCAGCTAGAATGTAAACTCCATGAGGTTCACTAAGGTCTATACTTAAAATAGTGCCTAAAACACAGAAGGCAAGCACTAAATCTTTATCAAGTGAATCAAATTAGTGAACGTCAATGTCAAAAAGACTATATACACACTGCACAGAGGACAGATCGCTCTCAGCTGTGCAGGGAGGGGAGGGAATAAAGAAGGAGCAAGCTGGCACTTACCATCCATCTCTTCTGTAATGAGTACGGTGTTATTCTGCATATTCCCTTCCATAGTCCATCCAGCCAGGTCCCGGCCAGACGTCACCATTGTCCCTTTACATGTGCACGTTCCCCAGGTCCCACCGCTACTAAGTGCTGGAGTTCAGTTTTAAATCTGTGCCTAATTTGAAAATAGCTTCTTTCTACAATCACTGGCCCAAGGTACCGCAGTCAGTGGCGCACCACGGGGAGGTGCTTAGGAAATCAGGTGCTAAAATACAGAGCAGGCACAAAAGTGGCACAATAGTACGATACACATCACTGAATTAAGAGATTCCATAATAACTGCAGGGGATCTGGACACATCTGCCTTAACTGGCAAGAACACGCGTAGGTGAATTTTATTATATAACGAACAAATTGTATTTGACATTACTTACTACCTAAATCCCTAGGTCTTCTTAAAGGGAACAAGAGCTACTTATCTTATTGTATACTTATTTATCTTATTGAATACTTGTATACTATATTCTTAACATAATAAAACCCCTACACAAGTATTTCAATGACATTTCCTAACAACTCTCCTGAATTTACAAAAAGTTAAGAAATTCACCTGAAGTCACAGCTAGAATTCAACCTTCAGGAACTCTGATTCTACAGCCACCTTCTGAATCGTTGTGCTATTTTTTTTAATATCTTAGTTTTCTTTTTCTTGCATCAATTTTATTATTTTTCATCTTCCTAGAAAATTAGGTATTTCATCTACATCCTAAAATTTATTAGGAAGGACCAAATTTCAAATTTAAATGTAAAGTCCTAAAATTTATATCATAAATAACACTTTTTTTTAACCCTATACTTGTTCTAGTAGTGTGAATATTATATATTCATTTGGAAGGAACAATATATTTTAATCTTGCATGGAAAGATTAAAAGATAACAACAAAATGTTATCTCAATAAGACCTATTATTAATAACAAGTCTCTGGAAGTTTCATACTTGGAAATGGTATATCATTATATATCAGAAAAATATGCAATTGTGTAGGCAGCCATAATTTATTTAGATTGTCTTTTAACACCTACATCAAAGAGTTAGGAATACCACTTACCTCTTAAGAAATTAAGTCAGAGTTAGTAATTATTTCAGCCATCTATAAAACAATCTTTTCATGGTATTTTATTTTTCATGGTACTGACCACTATCCTGTCAACGGATTTATTTATTTACCTATTGTCTTTCTCTCCTAGACTGAAGGCTGCACGAGTGTGAGGGTTTTGCTCTGTTGGTTTCCTATGGTGGCAGGGCTTAGATTCAGGACTCACAAAGGACGTCTCTGCTGCTGGGCTATAGGTCCAGCCTCTGTTCTTTGTGTTTACCGTGCCATTCCCGGTCCTTAAAACAGTATCCAGTACACGGCTTCATAAGTACTGGTGAATTAAGCTCCTACTAACTCATGGGTATTATCTGATTAAATGAGCACCCACTATGTGTTAAGCCACTTTGTTCATAAGATGTGATGGTAAAATCATAGTTATCATTTTAAGAAGTCAACAGTCATAGATAATACTTCAAGACTATTATCTTTATTAAAATGTTGCAGTACTTCACTAAGGTCCTTCAATAACATCTTATAACAAAAGATTGTCAATAAAATGTGATACTATTACACCAGGACCCTAACACCTCACAAATTATATGAATTACATCTAAACACCATCCTTGGCTAGTACATGGGGGAAGCATACGTTTACTAAGTCCATCAACAGAAGCAAACTGAATGTGTCGTAAGTAGCTCTCAGGACTGAATGTGCTCTATAGAGCTCTCCTTTTGTACTTTCTCAAGTTTTTTTCTTCAATTAAAGGAATAATTACTGTCCTTTTTTAAAAAAAGCTGAGTATTTCTTCTCTACAAATGACATGTTCCTGTAGAAATAATCAGACCTATTTTTAGATCTTCTGAAGAACAACACACCAGTTTCCCTGGTCATAGTAGCTTTGCAGAATGCTGATGTTACTCAAAGCCTGGCAGGTAGCTTCTAATTCTCCGTCACAGAACACATGGTAGTAACGATGAAACACAGGACTTGGGTCGTGGGATCCTACAGAACCAAAGGGCTCAGCAGGCTTGTCTTTACTAGTCTTTATCTTAAGATGCCAGGGAACCAGTACATCTTGAGAATGAAAAGAAGTCCTGTTGGTATGAACAGGCAGCTCAGAATTAGCAACTTTCTTTGAACTGGGTTCTTTCTCCTGAGCAGCATCAATGGAGGCGACAGAAGATGCTGCGTCCTGACTGCCCATGTCAGACAGCTGCTCGAGCACTCCTTCTGTGGCTCTGTCGCTCTCTATCTCTTCTTTCTTTCCTTGGCTAATTCTGTGTCTTCTAAGATACTTGGACTTCTGATTATTACGTTCCTGTTCCATTGCCCAGACATAGATGAGTGCCTTCCCGCCAGGTCTCAAGAGACGAACTATTTCTTGGAGAGCTGCCACTCTGCGCTCCTAATAAAGAAGATAAACAAAAATCGACACTTATTAACTGAAGGAGATACAGAGAATAGATGAAAAACTATAAGTGACTCAGTTTCTTGTCACCATGATAAAAATACATGAGAAACTACCTAGAAGAGGGCAGGTTCATTTAGGCTCCCTGTTGCAGAAGCTTCAGTCTCAGGCTGGCTGGTTCCATAGCTGCGGGCCTATGCTAAAGCAAAGCATCACTGTGAAAAGGCTCAGTATGGGAACAGAGAGAGGGAAAGTGCTACAGCAGGAGAAAGGTGAGGAATAAGACACACCCTTCCAAGGCATACCCCAGTGACTTGCTTTTCCCAGCCGCCCCTCCTAATAGCCCATTCAGTACCCACAGGAGCCAATTACCCCTCTGCTCCTCACCTCTGCACAGGAAAGCAAACCCTCAACACGTGAGTCTTTGGGACACATCATATGCACAAGGTAATACCAGCCCACCAAATGTTTTATATCAAAGGGGGAGAGCATTTTGTTCTGTGATTTAAATAAAGTGCTGAGGAAATAGGGAAAAGGACACTTCTATTTCTGTCCTCCTTCGCTGTGACTTTCCTCGAGTGGCTGGGACACATGCAACAACGGGTGACTCTGCTCTGTGGGAGGTAACGATGCACTCCTATGTGAATCACTGTTTATAGAATGCTTGTTTGCAAAATAAATTATGTAAACTACATTATGGAGACTTTATTTATAGTTTTGAAGTAGCTGATATCAATTCTCCCATCACAAAGGCTGGATGAAACACTGGTTAAATATCTCTTAGCTAAAATGTTTAGGACCAGAAGTATATTTGGATTTGGGATTATTATTATTATTATTTTTTTTTTTTTTTTGCCAGCTCAGCCCACCCTGCAGGCAGGGTTGGCACAGCATGTGGTGCTGGAGACCGAACCACGGTCCCCTGTGCCTGCCTAAGCTTGTGTAAGCACGCACTTTAGATTGCTGAGTTATATCACCAGCCCCAAGAATTTGGGAATATTTCTATGCACACAATGAGATATCGTAGAGATGTGAACCAAGTCTAAGCTCCAAATTCATTTATGTTTCATGGAGAGCCTGAAAGAAATTCTATGTGACAGTCTTAGCAGCCACGTGCCGATGGCGACCCATCACAAGAAGTACAGTGTGTAGCGGTGTCATGCTGGCGCTCAAACAGTTCTGGTTTTGGAGCACTTCTTGTTTCATTGTTTTGTGTCTTGTTTTAAAAGGGAGTACAAATTAGAATTAAGGGGCTGGAGAGATGGCTCAGTGGTCTAAAGCACCTACTTGAAACAAGCTTGGCAAAGCACAGGGACCGCGGTTC